TAAAAGACTGACTTAGCTTGAGAACTTGATTTAATTAATGGTAACAAAAATTTATTAAATTTATTTTATTTCACTTTTCTTTGAAACTCGTAAGTATAACGGAAACAGGCAAAAATAAATAAATTTTGACACTTTTTATAATAAATTGCTATTGCTATTGATTGAAATTAAATATGAATAATGTTTCTACCTTGACGAATTTTCATGAACTGACATTCAAAAAGAGCATATTGGATTACTCAAAATTCAAATTACGAAAGGTGCATACTAAAAATAAATGATGTTGAAGATCAAAGATAAAAAGATTGCATGCGGAAAGCTAGGACGAAATAAATGGTAGTACGACGCACCGTTAAGTTTCAATTTAATCTGTAGGAAAGGCCTGTGCTTCAGCAGAGGGGTCATTATAGGCTTATGATGATTATGAAATATATTACCGCAGCAATATGAGGTTTACTTGTTTGTATTCGATAATGGAGTGGTTAGCGCGTTTGAACTACGAAGCAGAAGTTAAGCAGCTTTCACGTGGGTCGGTCATAGCATGAGTGATCAAAAAATTTTCAGCCTTCTGAATATCCTGCTAACTACACTCAAGACTGATAGTTTTTTATGGGATTGATACCATGAACCTGTCGCAAGCACCATGATCACAGGGTAACTTGCAACATCTCTCAAATATCGAGATCTATGGAATACATGGGATCATTCCCACAAAAAACTATCATCATTCTAACAAAAATGACCATGAAAGCTAAAAACAACGTATACTCAAGACTCAACAGATATATAAGAATAAGAAACATTTATTGATCTCAAAATAAAAACAAATACAAAAAAAACAAGAACGTACATTAAAGGAACACATAATGCTCGTACATAAGATCCACAGAGGACGAAATATAACATATACTTTTAAGCAATCAATCAGGACTCTGCCTTAGCTGATGTTGGCATGACACTCATGAGTGCCACACCAACGCTGGTATTGTCTATGGTGACAACCATCCTTATACCCCAGTTAATTGTCTGTTGTCATTACAGCCCGTCTGCGGTCAAACGTCATTTATGGTTTTAAGCGAGGAATTCACTAGACAGGCATGCCCGCGGGCAAGTCTGTAGACATGACTGCCAGACCTCGTTACCCTAGGTCTGTGTCATGTCTGCCTAGTATAGGTCCGTCACAGGCAGTCTGCCAGACTGCCCGTCGCCCGTCCGTGAGATCTCATTTTGTTTGCGCGGGCACAGACAAGTCTGTAGGTGAATGCTCACAGCAGGCCGACTGCTCAGACCTGAGCCGGATAGCAAGCTTTACGGACGTCGACGACGTGAAACAAAATGAGTTTTAATGAAAATAAAAAAAAATTGGGAAGATTTTATAAATGAATATAAAAACATCCTTCTTTATGGAAACAATATAAGTATTAATAAAGAGTTACGCAATATTGCATATCAAAATTTAATGAACAAATGTAGGGAATTATACCACATAAGTTTGTTCTAATAATTTGTTTATGAGGTGCAGATGAAAATATGTTGAATTTATAAAGTTTTTATTCACCACACACACACGTAAAAAGTAATAAAAGATAAGCACAAAAGTACAGACAATGCTGTAGAATATAGAAGGCGAACGCGGGCAAAAAGAAATATGTAATTACTTCAAGTTGACATCTAATAATATAAATAATAAGTTTCAATTAAAACAAAGCATGCGACATGCATCTCAATAATAATAATCATCTGTGGACGCGACTCTCGTGCCATTGTAATATGCACTGATAACACAACCAGTTGCTTAGCGCGTCGAACACTAACTGACGAGTCTGTGTAGTGCGTTGTGAACGACAGACATGCCCGGCAGACTTCACCCCGGGGAATTCACTAGACAGTACCTGTCTAGTGAATTCCCCGCTTTAATGACAATTCATGATGATGCTTTGTTATTTTTGTTTGTGTGCTCTTAATTTCGTGGCTAGAAAATGCCACGTACGGCAGTCGATAGCAGGATTTTAGTTACAGTTTAACGTACTTCGTGTTAAAAACTTGCTCTTAGGTGTTATGCTTTGAGTAAAGAAAAGTTTCCAGTCGACATCGTGATCCACAGACGAACTGTAACAGTACAAATATGTTCAGTTTGGTACAAAAGCAGGTGAGCCAATAAATACAATCACTTAAGCTAACTACACTGATACAATGCAACTCAAAATACAATTTTTACACACACATTATAAAGACTGCATTAATTTTTTTTGCTGCTGTAGGTTTGAAACGAGATGATGTGACCGAGGGGAACGGACTTGGAAAACTATAAAATAAATGATACAATTAAAGAATAAAAAATACATGTACATACAAGTATATACCATTACTACCTCAAGTGCCGGGTCCTCTCACCATCAGTGAATCGCTAATGAGGGAAGACACAGAAGGTAATATATGTGATGTCGAAAAATATTTTAATTTGAAATTTTTGCAGATTAATTAAGCGCTTTTTAAGACTAGTCACTAATGCTTTTTTTGACCGCAGATCCCTTTCCGGTGGAGGAAGATCATTCCAGCACTTTGAGGCAGCAAATCTGAAAGATCCTCGTAAAGCCTCTGTGTTATTTTTAGGTGTTCGAAAGAAATTACGGCAAGATATTTTGAGGTATCTACAGTGGTCCCGTGTCCGCTCAAGCTTTACCGACAGCTTTACTTTTTTTGGCTTTCCTGTGTTAATTATACCGAAGAACAGAAACATCAGGTGAACTTGTCTGCGTGATTCCATTTTTAACATGTTCGATGCGTTTAAAAAAGGTGTGTTCACATATGTTCACGGTGGGATGCGGAAACAAAAACGTGCACATGCGTTTTGAACTTGCTGAATGCCTCCTGCCCTCTTTTTCATTAAACCGGACCGTAAACAGTCGAAGGCCTGAGAATACTCCACCAGTATCAGTACACTGACTTTGCCAAGGTCCTGGGCAGCTAAAAGATTGTCTACGACATCTGATAGGGTGGTTTCTGTACCATGTAACTGAATGCCCTCAGTGAGGGACCGGTTTATTATACTGGTAATTGCATTCAGCGACTGTGGCAGAGTCATCAACAACATCTCCAGAGACAAGTGGTCATCTCCTACAGCATTAGATTTTAGCCGTTTGATTGCTTATAGCATTACATCTTGACAAACTGGTCGCAGACTGAAAATGGATGTGTTTTGTCTGTGGTACTCATAGTAAGTGCGATATGAAAGAGATACACAGTTTGGACCAGGTATGTCAAGGAAGTGCCTATTGATGGCATCCAAGTTCTCAAAGATCAACGGCAGATCCATTGCTGTTTTGTTACCAGGCAATACGCTTCGCTTCAAATTTTACCACAACTTTCTGGAATTACCCCTATGATTATTTATGTTTTGTTGAAAGTAATTTCTTTTTTCACTAGCAATGGCTTTAATTACTAATTGTTCCATAGTAAAATAGCTATCTTTGAGCACCTGCGTTTTATTTTTCTTATACCTGTCATGATATCTGTTTGTTATCTGCATCATGCTCTTAACAGTTTCCGTGATCCAAAGATGAGGAGGAGCGTTGAATCTTTTAGTTTTTATATGAGCATGTATCTTAAATAAAGATGTGATGACAAATGACAGTTTACCGACCAAGATATCCACTCCATCACTTGACTCATTAAAATAACCCCAGTTGATAGAATGTAGATCCATGTTGAATCGGTCCAATAAAATATTATTACAGGGTCTATATGTAATCCAGCGGGGCAATGGCTGGTCTTTTTTAATCTTGGACTCTGCTTGTAGCAGAGCATGTCTTCCGAGTTCTGGGATATGTTTTTGTTATACATTGAGAGTCCTTAGATCAGTGCACATGACATCAATAAGACTTTGACATTGCTGCGAGAAAGGTGTTGGTTATATGATGGTTTGTTTTAGATCAAAACTGTATATGAATTAGTCGAAACATCTGGATATTACGCTGCGGGGTTCGAGCAAATAAATATTGAAATTCCCTGTCAGTATAAGTTCATACTGCTTCGGTAAAGAGGTGATTGACTCCGTAATCCTGTCAAGAAATACATCCCTACCCTGTCGTGGTGATCAGTAAGCAAATCCAATGAATATATTTTGATTGCGTAAACATACCAGTAACCACATTTGTTCAACCTCTATTGCATCGAACGGATGATGATGTACACGTGCATTAATTCCCCTTCGATTATAAAAACCCGCCCTTCCGCCGCGACCATCACAAACACTATTAGTCCTGGGCGCGTGTAGGAGTTTATAGTTTGCTAGTGTCGGTGCTTTATCACCTTGTCCCTTCCTTATCCAATTCTATAGATTTAATTCTTCGACAGTAACTATAAACTCCTCATGTCCCGTGCTCAAAGACCCGGCATTAAAAAAATTCAATAGTATATCTCGTTCCCTCAATCATAACTCGCCACACCACAGCCACGACTGAAAGCGCTTCATTGTGTTTCTACACTGTACGTATATAAATATATATAATGTTATAATAATTTGATTGCATGAAGTATATATGTGCAAGTGTACACTGTTAGATTTTTCTAATATTTTCTGGTAAGAGCTGGCTTTGATATAAATTGGTTTAGAAATAAAATTTATATTCCGAACATGTAAGTGATAATTATTTATGAATATTACCATAACGAATTTAAAAAGAATCGTAATTATGAAACACATGTATATACCACTTAAGGAGTTTTCCTCCACTCAGCCTTTAAAAAAAACGTTTACAAAAAATGGAGCGTCGAGAAAACCAGCTTTACTTGCTAGTTTACAGTCTCTACATAACACCGTTTTATGTTTATGTGTCCACGGCGACCGCAGACGCAGAATGTCGTTTGATCCAAAAACTCGGACCAGATCAGCTTCAGTGCGAAGACGATGACGTGGACCGCCAACCCCGGAGTTCTGTCATGCGAAAATCTTGCCGTCTCTCGTTCAGACGTAGCGCCAGTTCATTCTCTCGCCTATTTCACGCGCTGTCTAAACAACGAACGATTTGTACGAATAAAGCGTTCATTAATACACCAGGTAGATCGACTCCAGCGGTTGTGACTCCATGACGAACATGCGCAGCACGCAACAACTCATCGCACTTTGCAGGTCGCACCAGACGGACGACGATAGGACGCGGTCGCCGAGCCGCACCGCCTATGCTAGTCTCGGGTAAACGGCCAACGCGCGTCGCACTGACTGTGTCCTGTTGAAGACTTTCCTCCCGCTGTTCCGGCACGCAGGTGACCTCGATATCGTTCAAAGAAAGTTCCTGGTCACGCTCATTTAGTTCGGCCTTCTGTGACTCTATCGTGTTGACTAGAGGGGAGCCATGCGCGCAGTCTGAAATGGCGTCAGACCCACTGCGGTTTTCCAACGCGACTCAACGCGAGTACGCAGCTCCATTACCTCATTAACGCATGTGTCCACCTGCGTCACCAATCCAAAAAGTTTCTCGTCGAACGTAAGATCCTGATGTCGCGTTTCTGACATTTCATTACGAAACGTTCTTATTTCCTCCAACTTTCCGGAAAGTGCCTCTAAAGTTTTATGTGAAGATAATTCAGGCGCTGTTTCCGGGCTGCTACCCTCCACAGGACTTACAGCTGATGCCGCTCGACGGCGTGTAACTTTATCATCATCATGTGCACTTGCCGGCGTGTCACTGTTATTACTCTTGGGTTCAAGGCTCCTGCACTCATCACATTTCCATTTCTGCCGATACTCCCCTGTGAGAGTATTGCGAAGCCGCTATTCTGACACATTAGCACAGAGCAAATCATAATTTTCTCCACAACTGCAGCAACATAAAATTTGCCTACTTTTGATTGCTTGCAGACATCCAGCACAATTTTTCGTAGGCATTGTTTAACTTCTTTTCTTTTTTTTTTAAACAAATAATATGAAGAAAAAAAAATTATATATTGAGTTTCATAAAAAAAACATAAAATCTTGTAGGCTGGTGGGCTTGAATCACGGGTCCTTAGTTTTCACTCACAACTCTTTCGTAGCCGCCGTTCGGATTTAATGTCATGTGGCGAATTTATAAAGCACTATAGTATAAGCGGACTCAGTGCCCACTTTTCAGTGATTGTAACAGATGTTGAGTGTCAAAGACTCCATCCGAGTAATAACGTTCACCGGCAAAAATTGTATAATAACACTGATTTTGTCGCAAATCTCTTCACCGTTTGAATTGATCTATGCAGCAAAACTCAGAGAATAACTTGTCTTCAGATTTTTATAGGTTTCAAGGAAGAATGCTTATTATGGTATTTTTGAATTGATCGGAACAACTGCGCCCCGCGCATCCATATATAATTAATTATACTCGGTTAACATATACGAAGTCCCGAATAGGTAATTGATTCATTACCTATATACACACCTCAGCGACATAAATATGTACCTAATTCAGTCATTGTATTACAAATATCTAAAGCAGCTCCAACTCCATCAATGTATAGTATTGTTACGAATTCGGGTTCGGGATAAAAATCAATGCCAATTAATTTCACAAACCGACTTTATTTTCTAAATCCGATTAAAAAACTAAAGCTAACAATAAACCACACACTAAAGTTTCATTATTTCCCTTCACTACGGTTACATCAAAACTAGTTATAGCTCCGAGTATCGCTTGTATTCCGCTCTTGTATCCACATCGCTTAATCACTGAAGAATGTCGGGACTAGGGACTACAATCTCGTTCTCGTGAGATCTCGTTTTCCAGACCAAAAAAATATTATCTCGACCTTCTCCGTGTATTGGAAGGCACGTTTGGCCATTCTTCCCGGCTTCATCTGCAGTCGTTAATACCTTCCAATCCACATTGAGCCTCCGTGGAAGTTGGTCCATCATGATCCATCCTGCTTAATCATCTATAAGGAAAGCTTGAGCCCCTGCAGTGGGCACGTAACAGGGCTGATGATAATGAAGATGTTCTGTTCAGGCCCGGATCTATGGAGGAGCAAGTGGGGGCAATAGCCCCGGGTGCTAGAGTAGGGGGGCGCCAAATTCGTCATTTATAATACTTACTTACAGTTGGAAAAAAAAATAAAAAAACACAAACCTTTTCATTCACATTAAGGGTTACGATGGGTCAAACATAATTCAAAATCTGTTCTGCCCCGTTTAAAAATCATAGATCTGGGACTGGTCCCGTCTCGGGCCAACTGGGGTTGGTGGAGTTTTCATGCATTTCTCATGAATAATAATAATAAAATCCATTTATTTGGGACAAAAACAAACAATCACATAGGCAACTAAATCTGTCTCAAAACGGTTCCAGCTCAGCATATGCTGGTCATGTGATCAGCGCTGATCTTCCGCTGGAACTGATCCGGTGAAAACACAAAGAGTAACACAACATAACAAAAATACAGTGACATAAAAATACAACTATATAGCCGTACCCAAGGTCCAGCTGTATTGTGAATACAATTCCTTCGCCTATTCCATAGACGAAACGTTTTAGTGTCTATGGCATTGACGATTTAACATTTTATTGTAATATTCTCTAAAATTGAATAGTTATAAAATCTCTGATTCTTTGACATAAGCAGAATTGCCAATTGCGGAACGCGTAGACAAGCCACTATAAAAAAAAATGAAATTGTTAGTTTAGTGCCACGATTATAATAAGCAGTACACAATTGAAGACACAAGAAAGACGAATGAATGGATAAAATATATTTCTGTGGAATGGACGAACGAATGTCGAATGACTGACTAAAGCATTTTTTTTTTCAATTTTTTAGTAAAGTCATCGATTTTTCCAGATATTTAGCGTCCCGACCAGGTGCAAATCCTTAGACTCCTGAAAATCGAGACACCTGGCAACACTAGTAACAATATTATTAATTGCATTCTCGACAGCCCGTAATAATATTGGTATTATCTTAGTTTTGATTTATTTAGTAGCTCGGTGGCGTAGTGGATATGCGCCGCGGCCCGCGATCGTAGTCGTTAAGCAACTTTCGCAAGGGTCGGTCACGGGATGGGTGACCAAAAATTATCGTCTCGAGCTACTCCGTGCTTCGGAAGGCACGTTAAGCCGTTGGTCCCGGCTGTATTTGCAGTCGTTAATATCCTCCAATCCGCATTGGGCTAGCGTGGAGGGTCATGGTCCATCCTCCTTAACCATCCATAAGGAAGGCCTGAGCCCCTGCAGTGCGGACGTAAAATGGCTGGTGTTGATTGTTGATTGATTTATTTTGTCATGTTTTATGACATTACATAATAGTTTAAATTAATTGACAATAAATACACCTAAGGTAAAAATCCGTTTCACCAAAGAGTAGGAACTACACAATTAATTTATGATTTGTTTTGCAAATGACAGATCACAAATTCGTCAATAGATAAAATGAATAGGAATTGCCTAAACAGTTTAGTTTAACTCCAAATAAACATTATTTTTTGTGTTTGTTATATGCAACTAGATCTACAGAGTTTCTTCAGTTTCAGATACAAATAAAAAAAATTCGGCAAGAATTACTCGTTGGGAAGATTTTTTCCTAATGAAAATACTTAACAGATGAGAGAAAGTATTATGAAGAAGCGATGATGAATGAGTAAAAACAGATCAATACGTAAAGTACAAAAGAATTAGCAACATGATTTGTGTGAATCTCTACTGTATTTCTATTATTTACTAATTTATCATATTTTTATATTTCAGTAATCTCTAAAACAAACTCATTTCGCCAATCTAACTCATTAGCACATATTAATTGACACATAAAAAATTTCGTTCCCTATTCAGCCGATATAATGACAACTGACGTATTAAACATACCCATTCCGAGACTCAACTAATGATCATATTAAATATGAAGCTCGCGTTTTAACAGCAATTGTACGTTAAATGTATCCTTTGTCTCCTCATTAGTATTAATAATTGCCAGCATTAATCTTTGACGAAGATCCTGATGACAGATATGGTTCGGTTACCGCGGATTAACGAGACGTTAATTTAAATGCTGGTATGAATGTTTAAACGTTTGTTAGTGAGTGTGTCTCTGATATGAATGTAATATAGGTACAATTTGAGATATATACGAATACATCATCAGCCCTTTTACGTCCCCACTGCAAGATCTCAGGCCATCCTTATGGATGGTAAAGGAGAATGAGTCATGACCCTCCACGGTGATCCAATTTGGATATTAACGACTGCAAATGCAGTCCGGACCAATGACTTAATAATGTACCTTCAGAACGGAGTATCTCGAGAAAAAATTTTTTGGTCACCCATCCCGTAACCAACCTTGCGAAAGATGTTTAACAACGATCGCGAGCGGCGGCGCATATCCACTACGCCGCCAAACTACTAATTGAGGCACACAATAATGCCATTTCATAAAGATTTTTAAGGACTTTCAGATTTATAAAGTCTTATATGGAAATAGAACACGATAATGGAAAGACCGATGATAAAAGCGAAAAGAAGACAAAATAAACGCACTCAACAATGAGGTATTTAGAGAGAGAGAGAAATAATGTTATCATATACACCAAAATATTTTTTATCATATTTTCAATACACTTGTTTCATAAATATTTCAACGTTGTCTTTAACATCACATTTTTTTTTCAGATTCCAAGATAAGTTACTAAACTCCTCGGCTTATGAAGTTTCTGTAACGACCAGATCATAGACAATATAGAATTCTCGTTCGTATGATCCGACCACGGTGCTAATCAATGAGCCACGGTGGTCATCAATTGCTGATCTTCACAAAATATTTGCTAAATTATATAATAAATTCAAGGACTATATTGTTTAAAGGATAATGTGAGAATAGAGTGGCCACCTTCATAATTGCAACATAAAAGCGACACCCTCAGTCGTGTAACATTTTAGCGCTCAGTTAATTTATTTCATTTTATATGTTGCAGGTACGTTGTGAAACATCGAGGCAGATATTTCACTGGTGCCGCCATCGCACACCATTAATTTGATATATGATACTATTCTGAGACACGTGAGTAATCTTTAAACTTGAAAAATGCTCGCAGCAGTCGTGCAGAAGAAAATTTCATGTGTTCTTCATTAGTGCCTTTAAGTAACCTTTAAAGTCTACCGTCTTATTACTAAGCAAGGTCTAACTGTAGTACCAGGCAGAAACATTATCCGATTATTTGACAATATCAAACACATTGCTTAGATTTCGAGATGAGCAGCTAAAGACCCCATATTATGGAGTATCCGAGACAACGAAGATACCACAACACCCAGACCCGAGACGATATAGAAAAGTCATTTTTTTTTATATTGACCCGACCGGTAATCAACCTCAGGCTCAGAGCTGACGTCACTTTAAAACCGGCGTGCGAACCACTCGGCTACGGACTTCAATTTAACGTTTCCTCTTTTGTCACTGTCCATTTGATTTAGGCAGCCAATAGTTTAAAATAAATACTAACTTTAATCCTTGTTTTCTAATAAGATAAAAAATAAAAATAAGATATATTATTATCATCTTTAGATCCTCCGTGTTTCGGAAGCCATGGTTTGCTTCAACTGTAGAGACATTAATAAGCTGTCCGTTATCTCATAACCAGCTTTTGCTAGAGTGAAAAATTAGAGGATTCCGCGACGTGCTATCACACACCCCCTATTTTTCTAGCAAATGACGATTCTGAGCAATAGAAAAGGATAGGGGGTTGGAAAAAGGTATACCATGCTGTCGGATGTAGATCAACTATAAACTGGCTTTCTCTTAGTATTGGAATATACCTGATAAATTAAAATCGAAAGATACTTTATATTGATACGTAGTAATTTGTCAAACTACGTGATAGTACTAATATAAAATTGGTTTAGATACCGCTAGATTATTAGAAACCTTATTTACTAACAATTAGGACATAAATTAGTTCATACAGTTTTCGCTTATACTTCAAACACTTATTCCCATACGTTGTAGTCCTACATATGAAATCTAATACATGGTATTAAAGTAAAAAAAATAAAAATGGTGAAAAATGCTAATTAAAAATGCAAACAGGAGCTCAAGTATCTCAGTC